TCAACAGTTGTTTTTTTTTTGTTTTGTTTGGTTTTTAAATTAGTTGTCAACATTGGAAATCAAACCACAAAGATCCAAGTTTCCAGCTCCTCTCGAAAACTATGAAGACCTTAGCCCTGCCCTCCACTCCCCCCAAAGCAATCACACCACAACTGGGGTGGAGAGAAGTCAGCAGCCAGAGGTGGGGGCTGGGCTCAGCATTCTTGGCTCTTTTAGGCCAAGACTGCATTTACGACTCCTGATAGAAGTTCATCTCTTCATATTACAATGAGGAAACAGGCTGGAAACAAACAGGACTGCTAGAAGTCACAGTTCACTGCGGTACACGGGGTGAGCAAGGGACAGGATTGCCGGGTCTCAGCCAGCGTCCTGGCCACCATAACACTCAAAGTCGATGCGAAGATATCCTGCCAGGACCCACTCTGGCTTACTGTTCTCTTCAAGGCTCTGGCCACCCTGCACCTCTGGAATGGGCAGCTCCTTCTACCTGGAACATCGCTACTCCCACCAGCAAACTCCAACTCGGCCTCTGCTTGGATCTGTCTTCTTCAGGACTTCTTTCCTCCCACCCCAGACTAGGGGAGCTCCACTGGGAGGGGCACAACCCCTCACAGAGTCTCAAGAACTTGCATCTTTATTTAATGGTCATTCCTGCTGATCTGTAAATGCTGGGATTCCCAGTTCCCATCTGTGTGGCTCACACATATGGGGGCACGTAGCAGGTGCTTTACATAAGTTCATACACTAAATGAATGACAAGATGAGTGGATACTGAGGACAGAGGGGAAGAAGAATAAGGAAAGTCACAATGTATTTTCACTCTAGACAGGCAACTCACGGCCTCTCTGTTCTCAGTTTCCAGATGTACACTTTAAAGAGAAGACTGGATAATACAGTGCAACACCCCAAAACCAAATAATCCAACTAAGAAATGGGCAGAAGACATGAACAGGCATTTCTCCAAAGACGACATCCAGATGCTCAACAGAAACATGAAAAGATGCTCAACATCACTCATCATCAGGGAAATGCAAATCAACATCACAATGAGATATCATTTCACATCTGTCAGCGCAGCTAAAATCAGCAGCACTGGAAACAACAGATGTTGGCGAGGATGTGGAGAATAGGGAGCCCCCTTGCACTGCTGGTGGGAATGCAAACTGGTGTAGCCACTCTGGAAAACAGTGTGGAGTTCCTCAAAAAGTTAAAAAATAGGACTGCTCCATGATCCAGTAACTGCACTACTGGGTATTTACCCCAAAATACAAAAACACTAACTCAAAGAGGTACATGCAACCCAATGTTTATAGCAACATTATTTATAATAGCCAAGATATGGAAACAGCCCAAGTGTCCACAGATAGATGAATGGATTTAAAAAAAAAAAAACTATGGTGTACACACACACACACACACACACACACACACACACAGGAATATTATTCAGCCACAAAAAATAATGAAATCTTCCCATTTGCTACAATATGGATGGAGCTAGAGTATTATACTAAGCGAAATAAGTCAGTTAATACTGTATGATCTCACTCATATCTATAACTTAAGAAACAAATGAGCAAAGGAAAAAAAGAGAGAAAGAGAGACCAAGAAACACACTCTTAAGTACAGACAACAAACTGCTGGTTACCAGCCAGTGAGGGGGGGATGGGGGAATAGGTGATGGGGATTAAAGAGTGCACTTATGGGGGCGTCTGGGTGGCTCAGTGGGTTAAGCATCCGTCTTCAGCTCAGGTGATGATCTCACAGTTGGGGAGTTTGAGCCCAGCATCAGGCTGTGCTGACAGCTCAAAGCCAAAAGTCTGCTCGTGATTCTGTGTCTCCCTCTCTCTCTACCCCTCCCCTCTCCCTCCTCCGCTCCTGCTTGATCTCTCTTTCTCTCTCTCTCTCTCTCTCAAAAATAAACATGGGGTGCCTGGGTAGCTCAGTTGGTTGAGCGTCCGACTTCAGCTCAGGTCATGATCTCACAGTTCATGGGTTCGAGCCCCATGTCGGGCTCTGTGCTGACAGCTCAGAGCCTGGAGCCTGCTTTGGATTCTGTGTCTCCTTCTCTCTCTGACCCTCCCCTGCTCACGCTATCTCTCTGTGTCAGAAATAAATAAAACATTAAAAAAATAAATATTAAATTTTTTTAAATAAATAAAGAGTATACTTATCATGATAGGCATTGAGTCATCTATACAACTGTTGAATTATTGTATGTACACCTGAAACTAATATAACACTGTATGTTATACTAATAGAACACTGTACTGGAATTAAAATAAAATCTTAAAAAAAAGATTGGACAAGTTCATTTCTTCTCACTTGGGGTAGGATCTCCAGACTGCTTCAGGGCCTGTGAAGAAAGAGTCAAAGCAGGAGAAGCCATGTGCACCATTTCAAAACCCCTGAGGGGACCACGCACCTTCCTGTAACAAGGTAGCACAGGCCAGCCAAGCCTCAGGTGGCTGTGTATTAAGAAAAGGCTAATTAGGGGCGCCTGGGTGGCTTAGTCGGTTAAGCGTCCGACTTTCGCTTAGGTCGTGATCTCACGGTTCGTGGGTTCGGGCCCCGCGTCGGGCTCTGTGCTG